AGTATACGATGAGAACTCACTGGTAACACGTCATATGTCGAGATGCATCAGAATTTACTATTTGTTTTGGTGATCTTGTGTTGGATATAGAAACAAGAACATGTGTATCGAGAGTATCTTTGGCTGAGTGAGCATAAGTAACAGTGTTCCCCTGGGATGACGTTAAGGTGGATGCATCCTCAGTCATCTTACCTGCCGCTTTCTGTTTTCCCTTCAACATCTCCAGGAACTCATGATCCTCGTTGGTCCTTCTCTCCTTTGTTCTCTACTACCATATTTGCTAGGTGGCTCCCTTTTCCACCCTTTTGGTCCCATGATTACAACCACGGTCTCTAGATTATCAACATCCATTCTCCACTTTCCTTAGGTGGCTTTGAACAAGTCTTTCTTACGTGTCCCACTTATTTATAGTTATAGCACCTGTAAGTCTCCCCCTAGGCATATGTCATACTTGAGCTCGAGGTAGCCAAAGTCGATTGCGTACCTGAAAGTATACTCAGCTTAGAGTATAGCCTCATGCGACTCTCCTCCTTTATCATGGCGGTGATGGCCTCATCCAGTGAAGGAATTGTTGTCTGAGCTAAGAGTACATATCTCCTTTGATCAAAGGTCAGGTTTAGATGAGCAAAAAACTACATAGTCTTAATCTATACAAAGATCTCCACCTTCTTGTACCCCGGATCAGCACAGCTCAACATCAATGAGAAGTGATTAAAATCCGCCACAGCTGCTCCAAATCTATGTACTTCTGAATCGATCTATCGCTCTCAACCACTGACTATATATCACGCTGAATCTAGAACACCCTCATATGGTTCTCAGCTCCAACATAGATCTTCTTCATGTGATTCACTGATGAGGCAATCGATGAAACCATCAAGTTGAGTAGTTAGGTATAAAGCAAGACATGTGTGGTCCTACACTCATCCCTCTTAGTACTGTCACTCTTTAGCCCGACCCCTGTCAGATATCCCTCTAATTTTTTCCTTACTAGAGCAGCCTCGATCCGACCTGACCAACTCAGACATGTGTCCGGTCCATCAACATTCAGATTCACAGAAAGGAGATCTAGCTTCTCCTGTGTAGGTGCAGGTGTTGAGGTAGCAGTTCCTGTCGAGATGCTAGCTCTCTGTATGAGCCCGACCAAGAGCTTCAGAGCTTTAGGATCTATCTTCCCTAGAGGCTCCAAACCTTTTCCTCCCACGCTATCTTCATTTCCTTACATCCTCAATTTAACAATTCCCCAGCCTTCGTCGTCCACTCACGCATGTAGAACCAAAGTTCTCTTCTCCACTGCTCTAATTTCACGTGCACATCACCTCTGCCCTGCATTGAGCTGCTTAAACCACTCAACGACGATCCAACAACGGAAGGTGTCATGGGTTCAGCCCTAGAGCATGCCCGAGAATCGCGAGGGTTTGCCTTCCCAACGATTGTCGAGACTTTGTCGCGAGGGTTCTCTGCTGCGAATCGTGATCCCGAAGTTGCCTTCTCAATGGTTGTATCGCGAGGGTTCTCTGTTGCGATCCCTTAATTGCTTTCCCAGCGAGTCGCGATCCTGTAGTTGCCTTCCCATCAAGCCGTGATCTCCTCATTGCATTTCCAGCAAGCACTAGTCCCCTTCGCGATGATGAAGCGGAAGAGAGGAAAATCAAAATTTTGTGTCTCTACACCAACGACGACGGGCTACTATGGATAGGGCTCTGATACCAAATAGAAATAATTGCTCAAAAACTTCAACTATTCTGTAAAGATTTGGGCTTATATAAAGCCTTACAACTTTTTTTACAAAAAATCCTTATACTTATTCTATATTTCCTATTTACAAATAGGACCCTAAACTATATATAAATCTCAACACAATCCCCACTGGACGAGCAAAGATTACAAAGGTCATCATGGTGCAATAGAGTTCGGCATCACCTGTGTCGGGACTACCTTCTAGAAGTTGAGGTGCCACACAGCTCCTTACATAATGGGAGTTGGAGATCTAACTAGAACTGGTCCCTATAAACTACCAACTCGTTCTTATTCAGGTTGTTTGCTTTCTCGTCCTGACTTGCGACACGAAGGTGAACAGAAGGATTTAAGACGTGACTCTTCTGATATTCAATAACCTCATCCTTGTTCATCTTAAACAAGTTGGAAAGGTCAATAACCATGAGTCCATCGAAGAATAACAATGAAGATCCATGTCAAGAGCTGAAAATACTTGGAGCCATGTAAGAAGATGATGAAGAAAGTGTATCAATCGTCATTGTAACCCTTTTTTGTAAGATCAGAGAGATTCCAACCGTCGCGTTAAGGGAAAAATCGACAAACTATATGATAAGAAATGACATGAAATTTCAAATTTTATTTCTTTAATAAAAAAGAATTATTACAATAAATAACCCTTCGTTTTGACTCAATCCAAGGGAAGTAAATAGCCCACATAGGGATCTGAAGCAACCTCAACCGAGACATGACCCAGTTGAAACAACCTTTGAAACAAAAACTCCTCCCTAAACTTGAATTGCCCCAGTCTACTAGATTTATGGCCCGTTTGGGGCTGCTTATTTGGTGCGGTGGCGTTTTGAAAACACACCTGACCTGTTTGGATAAATTGCGTTTTGACAACTTATGCGTTTTCAAAACGCTGAAAACAATAGTTTCATACCGTACCTATCTAGGTGTGGTGACAGCTTTCTGGCAACGGTCTGACTTTTTCAAAAAAAATAAAAATTTGTAATAGTCACCGCACTTAGCTTATCACTAGATTATTTTTAATCAGTTTATCAGCAAATTATTCAATAAGCCGAAGCTGCCCCAAACAGACCCTTAGTCTGGCCTGGGCAATCCAGGATCTCTCTTGCAAATCTACGAGCCATCACTCTAGAACGAATATCATCTATTTCATTGCCACAACCTCTCCTTCCAAATGTGTCGTGCTAACAAGTAGATCATTCGCCGCTGAGCCCTGTTGGATATCTGCCTCACATGCAAAAGAGTATTCAATCTCACTTAGGCAATGAGCTAGCACCTTATGGTCCACGTGAGCTCCTTCAACAATGTCCTCGTGAGTGTTTCGAGGGAACGGATGATCTACAGGTCAGTCGACAGCATCCTTCTTGGCTGGATGATTGACCCCATTAGCCACCTGCTCCCCATAACTCGCAGACTCAACTAGGACCTTGTTCGAATCCAACAGAACCAAAGCTTTTGTAATATTAGGAAAAACCCAAGAGTTAAGCAAGACAAAGAAAGCTATCAATTCGTCGGAAACTTCGAATACCTAAAGCCCTTGACATCTCTGACATTGTTGGCTTTTTTGGATGAGCTTCCTGCGAAAGCAGAATAACCCGGTGCTCAGTTGAAGGTTCTAGTCTTTTGGTGAGCCAGGTATCACGACGATGGGTTGAACGGACAGGTCTTCATTCCGGCGATCGGTTCAACATCATTTGGAGCTGCCCTGGAAGAATCCACCTAATCCGAAAATGAAATTATCCTTCTCTTCACCACCGCTTTCTTCTTTCGCTCACCCTCACGACATTTTCTTCCTTTCTTCTGAGAGTAATTTCTGAGTAAAGATCTTGTTTGGAATGTCCATTTAGGACTTCATAAGCTTATCTATCGAGAGTTCTAGGGCAGAGGAGCAACCAATGAAGAGAAGGGGGCACAAAATTCACAAAGGATAGCATGTTATGTGCAGCTCAAAAAGAGGCCTATGTCTTATTTATAACAATAAATAGCATGAAAATCAAGGGAGTATCAATCATTGAGGTTATTTAATGATAAATAGTCATTTATTGTATTTAATTCTCTTGTTGTCATCGTAGCGGAGCCTATTAATGTACAAGAAAATCAGAGAACTAAAATATATACAATAAAAATACCCTTCACCAGATCTTCAGAAGATCGAATGGCGTGGAGTAGGTGTGTCGCTAGATAGAACTCCAAGAGAATAAATAAAGGTACCTGGAAGACGATCGAACGAAAGTAGACACCAACCAAAGATTGATTGGACAAGTAACCAAGGGTCGAGTGGCTGGCCGACCCACATGCTGATAGAGTTAGAGGCGGCCTAGGTCGAGGTTGACCGGCAAGAAGACGACTCACCAGATATTCATATGTTGCGTGGAATTAAACTAATCGATTAGGGGCTGACCAATTAAAGGGGTTCGAGGTATAATTATCATTTCACTATAATCCTACTTTCCTATAAATAGAGGATCATTATATATAATGGGGTTGGCGGAAACCTTATATGAAAATACCTCAATATCTCTCTCTCTCTATGTTTCTCTCTCATTTTTATGCTCCATTTTTTTATGTGTGATTCACGGACAAATCTGAGTATAAAACTCATGAAACCTCAAAGGTTCCTTAATGTCACTTCATTTCATAGGAAGTTCAACTGCGGCAGAAGAAGCGAGTTCTCCAATCGAAGTTTTCGCTCTTTCATCTTTTCGATCAATATCTTGGCTAACTGACAACATCAATCGTTGATCTTCAATAAAAACACTCAGCAAAATTGAATAAAAAATGGATTTATCACGATAATTGGGATATGGCAACAGATTATGATGAATTCAGAAAAAAATAAAATTATTCTACTTATTTTATCTCTTTTTTTTATTGAAAAATTACAATTTTCATTCAGTTACGAGTGCAAGAGGAAATTAAGAAGATGATACATGGTCGCCCAAAGCTCATCTTCCTTCTACAAGGATTATATATTAATATTTTCCTATGGTTAAGTCCTTGCAGTCTTAGCTACAAATCCATTATGCCTATATCATTTCTTATTTACATTGCAAATCTTCATTTTTTAACATATTAGCCAAATTTAAATACATAAGAATTAGGTAGCTTGCATATAAATACCCCATTAATCACTTATTGGCATTCCATAATGTGTTCCCAAAGCCTCAATTTTTTGCCCAATTTGAATTTATTTTAGGAACATGGTCTTCTTCAGAATCTTTCAAGAGGATTCATGTTTCAAAAGAGAAACTGACCAGCACAAAGAGAACAGAAGCAACCAGAAGCATCCGAAACCGACCAAGATATGAGTCTGCTACAATGGCTCCGACAATCGGCGACAGCGAACCAACACCAGACCAAACATTCACCGCCGCTGCAGCGGCCGCTGTTGATTCCTGGAGCGGTCCGGTCAGGTAAATGATCAGATTGGAAGAAACTCCAAAGTATGCAAACCTCTCTGCAATCTCCAGCCCTGAAACAGAACCCATTGATGGATGAGATCCATCCATCCTGCTTCAAATTTCTTTTGATGAAGATGATTAAAGGTGAGGAAAAGTTCAAGAAAATGTAATTACATATTATGAACAGGGCGGCGTTCCATCGGCCTGAGGTTGATTTGGATGCAGGGCGGCCGCGGTGGTCGACGATGGACACCATGGATTCCCTTCCTCTTGCTGCTTCAAATCTCTGGATCGACTTTTTCTGTGAATTTGGGCGAGATCATAAGAGAACTGAGAATGAAAAGAGGTAGGCTACTTGCTAATGGTTGGTGTCAGGGTAAAATTGGAAAATTTACATGCATATCACACAAATCCTATGTATTTACATTTTGACACCTGCATTTGATATTTTTATTTATTACACTTTATTGTTATATATTTTTACATGAAAAGGTGTATTTTTTCAAGTTAATACTACTATTATATTTTTTATAATATTAAATATTTGAGTCTTATTCATGTAAATATGAAAGTTTAGATGAATAAGAATTGTGTGGCATGCATGTAAATACCCCTTGATTATTACGCTTCATCATTTTTGACTCGGATACTCTTCGAGACGACTTATGTCAAAATAATTTTTTAGAAAAAGAAATTATGTCAAATCTCCAATTTATTTGATTTAAGGTTTAAATTAAAATATTTTTGAAAAATATATAGTTCTGATTCCATACTTTTGTTAGAAATAAAATGAATAATTGTAATCAATGATCGCATCTGTTTGATTAAACTGGTTGTGTGGAGAAAGTTTGAATTTGAAAAGGGTATTTGTTGGATGGTCGTCGTGATGTTGTGATTAAAAAATTTGAAAGTTTATTGAAAATGGTATAAATTTGTGGTTGGCACCTAGTTTTTTGGGATGCTTTTTGTAGGGATGTAGTGGTAAACTCATTTACAATAATTTATTATGTTTGATTAGTTAAACCTTGGACTTCATTTATGGTATAAATTTTTTTTAATACACAAGGAAAAAAATTAAAATAAAATAAAATACAATTGTACGGGAAAAGTGATGGCCTGAATCTTGAGATTTGGTTGTGCATATGAGATAAGATGTATCAATGGAGGGTTAATTGATAGGAAACTTGGAGCCCAATTGTACGTTTGGAGGTATCAAGATCAAGATTAACAAATGCAATTGAATGCCCTGAACTTGGGCAGTTTGACTGGAAGCAATAGCTCAGGGGGTCCAAGTCATTCCCTATGATGAAATCAACTTGAGGGAGAAGCTAGCCCTTCAAGTCCTGTAGTTCTATTGGAGACATCCAGCAATCTCTCTAGACATCACCAAGAGTAAAAAGTTAGCCAACCAGCAATATGAAGTTTAGTCAGCGAATCTGAACGATCAACAGACCTCACTACCCCAGTCAACTAGTACTATTTGCTAAGCTTAGCCGACTGACAACATTATCGAGGGCTTGGTAGTCCAACCAGCCAAGTCTTAGAGCAGTCAAGCTCTGGGAACACATCTGGGAAATATCTATAACAACATGTACATCTCTCACTAAAGAAGGGGCATAAAAATAACTTCACATATTGTACCCAATTTACGCTACAAATAAAGCCTCATTCAATGAATAAACGATTACACGTCTCTTCAAACTACTTTTAATTATTGTGCATTTCTCTTTGTCTCTCTTCTGTCTTAGATTCAATTTCTTAGGTATGATTCACTGACAAATCAGAATTCAATATACTAAAAGGCACGTTGAGCGTGGATTAGGAGTGCAAACGAGTCGAGTCAAGCTGAGCCGCCCTTGGCTGGAGCTTGAGGTTGAGCTTGATTAATTTTATCGAGCTCAAGCTTGAGTTTAATTCTACGAGTTCGAGCTGGCTCACGAGCCAACTTACTTAATATAAAAAAGACAAAATGATAATAATTTAAGCTAGCTTTATAATAAGTTGGCAAATAGAATGAACAATTTGTAGATAAATAATATGAATATACAATAAATAATGTTATTTTTTTAACATTTTTAATACCTTAAGGATAACATTTTGAAATTTAATAATATTCCAACACTATAATAACATCTAAAATAAAATCATAATAACAATGTAATAACACTATAATACGCAATAACATCATAATAATACCATAATAACATTGAAATACAACCAAAATAACATCTCAAATAATATTGCAATAACATCATAACAACACTCCAATAACACCAATCAAATACCACCACAAACCCGTCATAATACCACTCAAATAGCACCTCAATGGAACATCAATAACATCATAATAATATCACAATAATATCATAATAAAACCTTAATAACATCAATCGAATACCTCCATAAATCCAAATAACACAATAATAACACCTCAATAACACCAGTCGAATGCCCCCACAGAGCTGCCACAATACGACTCAAATAACACCTCAATAATAACTCAATAACACTTCAATAACGCCACAATAATACTGCAATAACATCATAATAACACCATAAGAATACTAATCGAATATCACCACAGAGCCGCCACAATACCACTCAAATAATACCAAAATAGCACCTCAATTACCCTTCAATAACGCCACAATAATACCACAATAACACCATAATAAGATTGGACAAATACCGCTATAGAACTGTCATAATAACACATAATAACACCCCAATAATACGACAAAAATATCACAATAACACCATAACAACACGATAAGAACATCACAATAACACCACAATAATACCTCCATAACACCACAAAAATAATGTAATACCACTCAAATAAAATTATAATAACATTAGTTTAATACTACCACAAAGCAGCCACAATACCACTAAAATAGCACATCATTAACAACTCAATAATACCGCAATAATACAATAATAACACCGGTCAAATATTACCACAGAGTCACCACAATGCCACTCAAATAACACCACAATATCACCTCAACAACCCCTCAATAACACAATAATAATACTGCAATCACACTATAATAACATCAACCAAATATCACCACAGAACTGTCATAATAATACCTTAATAACACCCCAATAACACCATAAAGACAACACAATAACACCATAATAACACCACAATAACACCTCAATAATACCTCAACAACACCACAATAACATCATAATAACAACTTGATACAACTTAATAGTATAACAATGTCTTTCATTATATTTTTCATTTATATTTCCTTACTTTGCAACAATACCAAAAACTTGTTCCCGAAGAAAATAAGAATTTAACTTTTTTTAATTTATATATATTAGGATATTACACAAGTATAAATATCGTTATCAAGTAATATAAGACTTTTTGATTAAGACCTGAATATTGAACCCATAGGGGAATTATGCAATATGCCCTGTTGAACAGCAAACTTTCTATTTTAAAATAACAATTACTTAAACTAGAGATGTATTTGCAGTAATTAAAATTCAATTTTTTTTTTGTATTTTTGATATTTTGACAAAACAATAACTATTTAAAAAGACAACTTAAGTTTATGTAAAAGAAAAACACTGAATTTGAAAATATATTTCTCCTTATCATGAATCAGTAATAAACATAAGAATTCTGTTATGAAAGTATGCAAATTGTGTCATGCCAAATATGAGCAATTATATTATTTACCCTTACTAGAGATGCTATAAAGAACATTGGATAATTTAAAGTTTGAATAGTTCTAAAGATCGGCTAGGCAGGGAAGATACCAGCTCTCACTCTAGAGTTCCCTCGATTCTCTCCACCTGGGGGCTAACATCTCGTATCAGAACCTAAAACAATAAACCAAGTTGGGGACTTTAACTTGTCACTTTAAAATCTTCTAACTCTACACCCTTCAATGATTAATTTCTTATTTATTTGCACTAAATCATATGAATTACATTCTTACTCATACAACCTCATGTGATTCTTTCCAATTGTTGACTGA